CAGTGGGACTGTAAATAAATAGGAGTACTAGGATCAAAATACCGTGTCAGTGATAAGATCCAGAGAAAGATTCTCTTGACTGTTAAGGGAAGACATACTAAAAAAAAAAATCTTGCAATTTTCACTTTCTAAATAGTGCCTATGGTGGCCCCACAACCCTGAGAAGGCTATAACACATCTTTGTTACTGATAAAGCCATGGAGAGCCATGTAGCGCTGGTGACAAAATGGTCTCTGGTACATGCACTGCCAGAGCAGCACCCTGACACAACAGCAGGTATGAAATGGGATGCAGGAAAATGCAGCCAAGGCAGGACCTCTGCTATTTTGTGCCTCATCTGTTAGCCTTGGAGACTGCAAGGCAAGATGCAGCTATTTCAACTTTCTGTTATATCATGTATTTTCCCTGACTATGTGAAAGCACAAGAAACAACAGGGGTTACACAGGCTTCCATCTGTTTCTAAAGACTCCTGTATGTCAAAGGGGAGAAAATGCTCTTGCAAATGGAGCTCCAGTTTGCCCTGCAGACTTGCCTGCCACCTTTAATAGCTGCATCTGACTCTGGAGACAAAGGTTAAGTACCATTGGCAGATTGTGAGCTGGGGATGCAGGAATGTATGGAGCTTTCTGGCTAGAACTAAAGTACATGTAATAAGGTTCTGATGGAAAAAATACTTGGGGGCATTTTGAAGAGTGGGATTGACAAATGTAATTAGTTTAGTTATACCTTGTTCAATATAGTCTCTTGCACCTCTTTTTTTGGGCAGTATCTATTCTTACCTCGTCGGTGAGGAAAGAGGGATCATATCTCTGGATGGCGGTGGCAGCAGTGTTGCTGATGTGTCCTTCTTCTGACTCTGCATACTTTAGAAGCAGTGGAATTGCTTCGGGAAGGAGTGCGTTCTTCAGTGCCAGCAAGTACATCTTCACATTGTCATCTTTCTTAGCCTTCTCCAGCCTATTTAGAATCAGCTTTTTGGCTTCGACAACAGCCTAAAGAAAATCAACAGCATGTTTAAGTGGTGGTCATAATTTTACTGTCTCCTGAGAAACAGGAACAGCAGAGCTGGGTTATAGTCCATTTTTGGTTCAGCGCAACATTACACAGAGCTAGTGAAAGTGCCCTTAGTAAACTGCATGTTGATGGCTTCCTTCAAACTATAACCTGTGTGCCCGGAGTGACATGTGGTCCCATAGACTTATCATTCACTTCACTGGGAAGATATCAAATTAAAGTATAAAGATGGCAAAATAGATGACATTATTAAAAAAAAAAACAAGTTTCTCTATTAAACAAAGGAATTTATGAGCTTATTTTAAAACAGGTAGGAATATGCTGCCTGTGTCTCTCATGCTCTCCCAGTAACATCAGCAGGGTTCATTCACATGTGTTACAGACCAGAATGTGGCCAGCAGTGAACAGCAAATACTCACTGGAAGCTTGCAGCCTTCTCTGTCACACAGCTTTCTGATGAGCGCTCCCATGACAATGACAAGAGTTTCTCTGATTTCTTCATTTGCGACATCACCCTTGAACTTAGACTGCCAGGCAAAAGCAACACTGTTAGTCCTTCTGTCTAAATACGATGAACCGCATGAACCCATGGGGGCTGAATGCCTTCATTTCCTGTGGACATTAGTGCACCACAAAGGCAGTGATCACCTTAACAGCCTGGGCTCAGGCTAAGCAGAGAACTGCTTAAAAACCATAAAACGTAAAAACTGAGTGTCATGTTTCACTTGAGTTACATTCAGTGTCTCAAGTAGTAGAACTAATTTTGTAGTATTTTTTTTTTAAATAATATTATTTTGAAATAATATTATTGTGTTCAGTTCTGGGTCCCCCATCATAAGAAGGACACCAACATATTAGAACGAGTCCAAAGGAGGGTGATCAAAGGGCTGGAGCACCTCTCCTGTGAAAGCAGGCTGGGAGAGCTGAAGTTGGTCAGCCTGGAGAAGAGGAGGCTCCAGGGAGACCTCATGGCAGTGTTCCAGGAAAAGGCCTCCAGGAAAGCTGGGAAGGAATTCTTTGTCAGGGAGTGGAGGGATAGGACAAGGGGGAATGGTTTTAAACTAAAAGAGCATAGATTCAGATTAGATATTAGGGAGGAATTTTTTACTCTGAGGGTGCTGAGGCAGTGGAACAGGTTGCCCAGAAAAGCTGTGGCTGCCCCACCCCTGGAAGTGTTTAGGGCCAGGTTAGATGGGGCTTTGGGCAATGTGGCTTAGTGGGAGGTGTCCTTGCCCATGGAAGAGGTTTTGGAATTAGTTGGTCTTTAAGGTCACTTCCAACCCCCATCCTATGATTCTATGATAAAATGGTGTCGGGACTTTGATAAGGCTTTTCATCCTTAATTGTTTGGCTTGGAAGCATGTTTGTTTTCCATGTAGTAAATGTTAGTAACATTTTACAAAGTAAATAGAGCTTTGGTCTGGACCTGTGAATTTTGTGTGTTTCCAGGCGATATGCTCCTGGTACACTTAAAGGAGACCCTGGAAGGGGTAAGGAAGGGAAAATTGGAAGCATTGTATTGGTTTTGTCCTTTGACTTACAGTTAAAGATTTCAGCAGCATTTCACTGGGGTGAGAAGCAAATCCACAGGCATACAGGAATCGCTCCTGAAGGATGGAAGTACTTGCATCCTTAAAGTCCAGGAACTCCAGTATGGCTTCCAGTGACTCTGGGGTCTGAGCAGAAGTTACAGCATCCACTATCTGCGGACTACAAATATGTGGAAATGAACATATTGTAATGAGCTTTCATTTTGTAATGGAAATACTGAAGGCAGTTTGTTGCACTTAGAAAGAATGAAGCTACTGTGCTAACAGATCTGTTTTTAGCAGGTAAGAGAGAATTATTCTTGTTGGCCAAAACTGTTTTTGAACACAGTTCAAAGTGAATTCTTCCATCTCAAAATAGCAGATGGACTCCAGAAAGTATTCATATCCATGGATAAAAATATTTGAATTTATGCAAATACAGAAAACAAATTGCATTCAGAAACACAGCTGTTTAGAGTATCTTTAAGTTCACAGGGCAAGGTTGTAATTGGAAAAAAAAAAGTTTTACTTCTACAGAAGAGGTAGCAACTAGAGAAAAAAGGGTTCTACACTACCTGAATTACTTGCAGGCTTATCTTTGTTGTTAACATCTGCTCTAATTTGCTTGAAAAATCCTGACTCTATAGTGGAACTCAGAAATGCTTTCCAACTCCCTAGTCTAGGTGCACATGCTGGTCATACCCAAACTCCGATCAAAGGACAACATCCAGCCATGAACCATCCCCTTCTCTGCTACATTTCCATTTGAAAGAAACCAATGGGCAAGTCAAAAACAAATCAGAGGATGTTTCAGAACAAGCAACTGTGATAAGAAACTCTGCCTAACCTACAAAACACGTTTGCTTTGCCTTCTTAGTGTCTGAGTAATATGATGCAAATATACTTTATTACAAAACAAACAAACAAAACCCTCCTTTTTCCTGTAGACAGTAGTAAATACAGTTTTTGGATTGCTAGGACATCAGCAGTAGAACTGAATGTTTTCATGCTATTTAGCCTTTTGCACGTTTAAGAAACTTAAACATTTTGAAAGCTTGTTCATGATGACTTACAGGAGTTCTTTCTTTTCACTTTTAATGATCTGCAGAATCTCCTCTTTTGTAGCTTTTCTGATGCTCTGAATGAAGGACAAAAAGTTTCTTGCTGCTTCAGCTTTGGAAAGTTTGTCGGGATGCATATATTCTTTGATGCTCTTCCAGTGTTCAGAAAGCTGCAAAATAATTCACATTATATCAAAACTCTCAGATCACGGTTTCGGTTCTCAAAATCACATTTGATAAATGCAGATATGTGGGCCAGCTATTGCTCAAATTAGCTGAAATCCAATACATTGCTAATCCTTTAGCTAACTATTATCTAACTTGAGATATCCCAGTCCACATATCTTCGCGACCTTTCTATCTCTCTCTTCCAGCTCTTTAGTATTTTCATAATAATGTACATTGCCTGAAGTACAATTTGTTTTGAAACAAAATGTAGTTATTTAGAAGGTCCTGAATAAGGTGAACTTCCTTGTCTTGCAAATTCACTGTGCTTTCTGGTAAATATGGTGTTTGTCTTCTGTTGCCATTTTCTTCTCAGTCAGTTTTTTTTCAAGTGGGAGATGCAAAGTCCTGATTTCATAAATAAATCATAAATTCTCACAAGATGGTAATATTCTAAGTGGTTCGTGTGGAACAGGAGTAAATGACCCACAAGTCATTTGGATTTCTTACTCATAAAACTGCATAAGATATGCAGTTATTGCAGATTTGTGTTTATTGTACAAAATGGTAGTTAAGAAGGTATTAGAATAGGTACCAGCTTCTTCATTTGTTGTTGCTATATTTACTCCCCATGCCATATTTCTGTCCAGAGTGAGCCAACATGGTTCCACAGTACCTGTATCTGTCCTTCCAGCTACGCTCCTATGAGAAGCTGGTGCAGGTATTTTGACCTTTCCTCTCTCACTTGCCTTTGCCTCTGTTATCTCAAATTATCAAGAACATTCCTTGGAGAAAACTCAGCTGTTCTCTGCAGGAGTGTTTACTGCAGTTTTCCTGAGTGGGAAATAACACTAGCACCCATTTGACCTTTACTAAAATACTTCCCCTGTTCATGGGTTTTGTATTAGGCAATAACACTTGAACCTGCCATCAAATAGAAGTATCATTCGACAGTACAGAGTGCAACCTCCATCAACTGTAACAAACAATAATTAGGCAACCATGATTGAGACATAGGATATTTCCTGGGGATTAATAGCCAGCTGGGAGGAGCTCATGTTCTGAGGCACAGATGGGCCTGTTAACCTCAACTGGTGATTAGTGCACCAAGGTCAGTGTGGCTATTATAAGCTGGAATTGGATAAACATATGGGCACTTTCTATTCCCACTATTGAAGTTGCACCATAGCCCAGCAAGAATTCTCTGACTTCTTTAATCCCTTTATTTTCTCCTGTGCAAAGCCCAGTTCTATGGGTTTAGCCCACATCCTAGGGACAAGCGAGGTAGGAGATGTGAACTGGAGCCATCACAAGCAAAAGAGAGTGGAGACCAAGTCTTCCTCGTTTGGGGGTGCTCTAAGCACTCAGCTGCTGCAAGGAGCAGCTGCCTTCTCCTGCAGTGATGATGACTTTAAAAAACAGCACCCACAGCTGAATTTCACTAGGGTTCTCGTTCTCCTGATGTGAATGTCAGGCTGTTTGGATTGAACAACCCAGGGATTCAGGCACAGATGCACACACTGCCCCATGGCAACTCAGCCAAGTTCAGGCGGGAATTGGGTTCCCTCTCATTAGACCACAGCACTTCTGGGCTCTCTGGGAAAATCTGAGCCAAACTGAGAGGTCCTAAATCAAGCAAGACTTGGTTTTTACTGTCGGTGCCTGTCAGCTGCCTTACCAGCCTACACAAATGTCCCTCAGGTTAGGTGAGCCCAACCCATGAGTCCATATGGCACACAAAGCTGTGTGGATTACTAGTGGCTTTCCTGCAGTACTGCACCCAAACTCATCAGCCTGCCCTGAGTGGGGGCTGCCAGCTCCAGCACAATGCTGTGAAATGCAGCTGGAGCTGGCTGCTGTGGGCAATCAGGATGCATCTCTGCTCCATCAGCATGGGCTTGGCCAACATCTGGGTTGGTATTTAGTCCCTCATCACTCACTGCTGCAAATCTTTCTCCTCCTCCTACTAAAAGTCATGTCAAATAGATAAGGAAACACTTGCAATGCAAAGGTTGCTTGTTGTACATTAAGTACTTGAGCAGTGAGAGGCACCTTCTCCTGTCAACTATTGCATGGCTTATCCTGTAGCTCTAGGCACAGAGCCCAAAGCCAAATTTTTCAAAGGTTGTCTACACAAGAAAGAACAGAAACAGCTCCATTTCAGGAGGGGCAAGCACCTGTTTCTGTAGGAACTGTGAGTAAAGAAAAACTGTAGGAGCCATGAGCCCTTCTGAAAAAGAGTACGCTTCATGTTGACGTGTAAACACAGAAAGCTAGGTCTAAATTTAAATGTAGATGTTGGCTATGACCTCACAGAAGCTCATGCTGCCACCTGTGAAAGGGGGCTGATAATGGTTATTTTACCAAATTCGTAAAGCTAGAGACAAGACTTGTTACGATTTGAGAAGGGTTTTGAAAACATAAAAATGTACAGCACACCATGTCAGCATGGCATTAATGTATACTATGATATATAAGTACCAAATGTTATGTTGCTGCTTTGGATACAGAGTTCTGTTTATAGACCCCATCTTTTCATAGCAGTTACTGTAAAATACAGTGAGAAAGCAGCACTTCATTCTCATCGTGCCATTAGGTTTATAGCTCAGTCCCCAGGCACAGCTCTGGAATTGTACCCTATGTTTGTTATCTCGGTCTGGAAATTATCTCCATAACCATTATAAGAAACTCAGTTCCAAGTGACAAATTGGTCAGCACAAACCCCAGTGGGCAGAGTCTGGAGAAGAGCACCTGTCTCTGCTCTGTTTTAGACTCCTTGATGTTCCCTACTCAGAACTGCTTCAGCACGCATACAACATAAATTCTAAATCATTTTCCCCAATATATTTTTTTAATCTTCTCTGTGGCTCTACATGCTTTAGACAAGATAAATTATTGCAGTGCAATGTTACTTCCAAATAGCTAGAACAATTTCCAAAATAGTAACGAATTTATGCTCATCAGAAATAGAGGATTCAAATTATGTGTGCTGAATAGAAGCCTTATCCTGCTTATCAAAAACTGACAGAGAATAATAGTCTTTAAATTAATATTCCCATTTGCTACTAATTTCATTCTACAATGGTAATAGCATTAAAGCTGTTTACTAACTATCACTATTGCAATTTATATTAGTGGATATGATGAATACTATCAGTAAAACAAAAGATGATGTATTTAAAGTAAGTTCTTAGTAGATGTTTTACATATGATTTTTTTTTTTTTCCAGGAGGGGAGTGATGAGAAGAATATTGGACTTGCCAGTAATATTAAAACACAATTTTATATTTATAAAATACCTATAGAGTCTTTTAAATAACAGTCTTCCTTCATGGTCAAGCAGTTAGAACAGGCAGATATATTCCCACAATTCTTTTTCCTGCCTACTGAATGGCTATCTACCTTTAATTTCTAGGAGCAGTTCAGCTCCTCCATGACAGAGAATTGTTTATAAACACAGGTCATCCATCTTTGTGGTCATTACATACCCCATTATCCAGAGGATAGAAGTTTCTGCCAACTCAAGGTTGGTAAAGATGAGACAAAACAAAAGGGTGTTGCATTTCTGAGAAACACTGCACTTAATCTTTGAAAGACACCAAAAAGGTTGATACTTTTAGAGGTAGATCTTAAAACACCCTCATGTGGTGGAAAACCATTGCAGCATTACAGTACTGCTCCCTGTCCTGGGGCGTTAAACCTCTCCTAGTGGACTGCTTGGACAGAAACTTCTATTTCACGCTTCTTTTGCTCAGCTAACCAACCTGATGTCCAACAAGTCTGCGTTTACTTACCGAAGGACACTTTTTGCATTCAGATTTGACTGTCTCTGCTACTAGGGGCATGGACACGTAATTGGAGTCCAAAGTCTTGACAACACCAGCAGCTTGCTTCCCAGCGATCAGTCCAGGGCCAGCTTGTACTGACTTCAGTTCCAGTCTCTGCCTGTGCATCCATACATTGAAAACACCATTAGAACTCAAACATTTCGAAGAAGTGCAAAAATCACGGGGAGAGGAAACAAAAAGAAACCCTCCACAGACAAAAAAAATACAGAACAAAGAATTACTAAAGTTCTTGGACTTGTTTTAAAACGTTCAGATCATGGAAAGTCTACAGGTTTTTTAAGGTAATAGAAATATTTAACCCTGGTGGGATTACTGCCAGAGGAGCGTGATATAAAATACCTCAATAACAAACTTTACAAAGTATGGATCTATAGTGTCTGGTAAACAGCCCTCAGTAACCATAGACATTCTGAAAAGTTTCACATATTTGTTCATAAGAAGATTTGGAAATTGGGTTTTTGAATGTACTTTTTTTTTTTTTTTTTTTTTTTTTTTTTAAAACAGCATAATGTTAAGGAGATGCCTGAATCATTTTTCTTATATGAATATCACCGAGCTTTCAGTGTTTTACAGTCTGTCACAATGGTTTGGACAGATGCAGCTTTTTTAATTTCATTTCCTATGAGTGCCATTATTTATTATTTGCATCTATTATGGTAGAGCCATTAATCAACATTGGACTAGGTACCATATGGATATGAAAGAGATCTAAATTCTACCTGAAGAGTTTAGTGTCTTAGATCTTATTGCTGTAAGACATACACGTGACCTGACTTGAACCATGAGTTTCTGCTACCATCAATAACGGTCAAATTGTCCAACTTACTTTGAAACTATTTTGGCATTTGTTTTTCGTCGGGAATTCAGAAAGAAAACATAATTCTCTTCTGCCTTAATGGATTTAAAGAAACTGTCTTCCAGCACGTAAATTGTGGCAGATGTGGCTTTGGTGCTGACATCCAAGATCTGAAAGTAATTAAAAAATAAAGCAGAAGAAAGGCTGGTCAATAAACAAAAATCTAGGAGAAGATCTCACAGTTCCAAGTCACGGCAAAACTCATTAAAAAAATAGTGAAATTAAGAAGGTGCACATGGGCTGACAACATCCCAGGCTAAGCCTGCAAACTAGGATCTCCCATATTTTCACAAATTCCCTCAATGAGAAGAGCCACTCACTTCTGCACCATCTATTTCAAATTCAATACTTATGAGAAAGGAAAGTGTGGTGGAGAGGAAATTATGGAACAAGCTGTAGCTGAGAAAATGACTGGTAATTTAGTTGAAAAAACATTTTAAATAAGTTGGGAAGCTTTTCCAGGAAAATCTCGTATAAATGAGATTGTCACATTCACAACTGAGAAGCAAAACCAACCACCTTGCTTGATCTGCTTGTATATAAATTGAAGTCTTTATGGTAAGCGTGACAACCAGGAATTCAGTCATTGTGTTAAGTCATTTTATTAACAGAGCATGTGCTACCTTTGTACTTCTCTGAGCTGAGGAATGTCAGCTTCTGACACGGAGAATCCCAGTGCCTGCAGCATGTGTCCAGCTTGCACTCACTAGTAAGCACTTAGAAGGACATTTCCTAACAGTGAAAAATCATTAAGGCCATAGTAGGGCTTCAGGAACTTCTGCAGCATATCTCCTACATCACACCTATTCACAGGGAAGCCTTTATTTCCTACGCAAACCCTACAGGGCTCCACCCAGGAGTCAGGATTTTGCTCAGCATTTATTGTGTACACTGAATGCTGTGACTTAGAAGCTGAGAAAAAGGTAACAGTTGTCATTATTTGTTCAAAGTGATGTGAATTATTTTGCTGGACTCGATGTCAGCTGAGATAAGGTGGTTTACACAAGAGAATCCATTTCCTGTTCTCCCTGTGGCTACCACATACAAAATTTGTACTAATAATACTGTAAATGTACACGTGGAAGTTGCTTTATGCAATGCCAGAAAGACCTTTTGAGAAAATGACTAATAACTCATAAGGATATATTTTAAACAGGCAGAACAGATTTTACCTTGTAGAAGAAATCATACCTTGTTGTGGCTGGTAAATCCCGTTTTTTCTATTTCACAGGAGTCCAGGGCTTTTATTTTAGTCACTTGATCTTGCCGCACCTGGTAAGTAGTATTGCATTTCCCAGATATGTCCACCTTGAAAAATAAGAATTAGATTAAGACTATTTCTTGAATTTATCTTTTGGAACCCAGAACACCTTCCAAAGTTGAGCCATATTCTCCACTGTTGACAGCTTGTACATGAGGTGCTGTGCTGTTTGTGTTTGGATTTATTTATCAGTTTTGAGGGTAAAGAGAGACTACTGCTTTATTTTTCCTTGTATTGGTGTTTCTAAATATCTGTCTTAGACAGTCAGGGGTACTTTGCATGATATGGCTATGAAGGAAAGTAACAAAGTTTATTTAAACAAAAAAGTTCGGGAACAACTGGCAGGTGGTACTAAACTTAAGAATTTGCATTAAATTCCAGCTTTGTTTGTGTTGACAGATGCAGAAGTTTAGCTACGTAATGCAGGTTAAATGGCTGTGGCTAAACCATTGCTAACTTTGTGTGGATACTTGGTTTGATTTAAAATGGTTTTATCCATTGAATTGAACTTAGGAATCAAATGAATTTAAACATCAGTATTATCTCTTTTATAGTGACATGGTTTGAGTTGGTTTATTTCCAGATCCTGCTAAATTGATTGAAGTACTTTAAATCAAATGGATTTCACCAATTCTTTAAGTAAATTGCAACGTGACTTGTGTCAACAGATATTCAGAAGATTGTCCTTTCACCCCCAACATCAAACGCAATCAAGGGGCTGATTTCTGTTCCTCTTTGTTCTCTCTGAAGCCAGCAGGAGCCACAGCCCTGCCTTTTAGATCAGACTGAGCTCTGCCTGTTTCTCTGATGATGGTTATCTTGCCAGATATAGCACCATACCTCACGAGAAGTACCAGAGTGCAGCTGTAGCTGGAAAAGGCTAGCCAGACCTCTCTTAAAATTTTGAGTAAAAGCGTGTTCATTTTGATATGAGTAGAAGTTTTGGACCTGTAGGAATGAAAAACAAGTATGTAACAAATGTGGTTAAATGAGAGAGAGCAAATGTGGATCCCCTCCATAAAATCCCCTTTCCTTTTTCTGTCTGGGAAGCTGAATTTGGACCTGTTGTCCTTATTTAAGCAAACTACAGATGCTGGAGAGCCTCCTGATAAGACTACAAAGATTTGTTAAGCAGCTGTACCTAAGGACTGTTTCAGTGTGGTGAGCATCTTTCCTGCCTGCTAATTGAGAATTTAGAAGTAAAATTAAAAACTTTGAATAATTTCATGTGACTTCTTTTCCTGCATAATCTTCAAATAATCCCACCCCACGTGCACATAATATCTGTTGCACTTTAATCACAGGTTACAAAAACTAGAATGAATCATAGATAAATCACTGAATGACTTAAACGTGTCGAACATATCACAACCTTTGAACTTCATGGGGCGACTGTTGTGCTTCAGCCTCTCCTCTGGCAACAGAAGACTTTGCACCTCCACCTGGCATTCAAGGTGCTTTAAAGATGAATTTTTTTCAGAAACCGTAAGTCAAATCAGCGTGTTATCTTGGGGCAACCCTGGAAAGTGAACTCACTGTTGCTAGGGGTAAAAGTATCAAAGCACAGAGAAATCATAAAAGGAGAGTATAGACCCTATTACCTGAGAAAAAGCCCAAGTTTGTAATACTACATCTCAGTCTCAGCATGTGAACTCTTTCTGCCAGTGTATTTGCAATGTACTGGGAGCAGATGTATTTTGACTGTGTTCCTCTGACACCCCAGCCCTCCTTCAGGGATGTGTACAGTTGGGAGCCAGTGCTGTCCCGTTTCTTTTTCTGTTGTGTAAAGCTGATGACAAGGCTGAGTCTGAAAGTTACTGAGTAGACCTGATAGCAGCTGCAAAGCAGTAGGCTGAGCTGGCGGCCAGGGTATGTGCTCAGTGCCTATTTACAGCAGGAGGTAAAGATTCTGCTGGGATAGGGTGTCACAGCCCTTGCTCTGCTCTGCAGAAGAGAAAAGAGAGCACGACCTTCAACCTTCCTCCTTTCTCACTGCCCCTCTGCCCATGTCCCACCTGCTCGGGCAGCAGAAGGGAGAGCAGAGCTGTTGGCTTAATGCTCCCAGCCACAAGCAATGGGAGGGTGGAGGAGCATGGAGAGGAGGCAAGAGGAGCTGCTGCTCAAACCTTGCTGTTCCTGACCCAGAGTGCAAGGAGACAAAGGAGCAGCTCCACAGAAAAAATAAAAAAAAAATAATTAAAAATAAATAAATAAAAAATAAATAAAAAATAAAAAAGAGTTGGATTTGCTTCATTCCCTTTCCAAGCAAGGCTGAGATGCTGAGAGCTACAAATGGACATCTGTGCTCCTACACAGAGAGACTGCTTCAGTGCTCTTTCAGAGCAGGCTGCAAAACCAGGGCACCAGCCAAGCCATGCTTGCACACAGTCCCTTTTCTTCTCATTTTTGGCGACAGTTTTTCACCATCACGCTCATTAATTTGGGACTATTGAAACTGTGATAGGTGACACTGAAGTCAATAAGCAAGCCAGAGAAGTGGGTAAAGCAGACACACTAAAACATCTGTTAGGGGTTTAGAGATTAACGCTGCTCCTCATAGACTTGGTGTTAACTCCCTCATGACAAACTGTATTGCCCTTTCTGTCTTCAGACCTTGGATAAAATCCTGGCCTCACTGAATTCAACAGAAAAAATCTTACACAGCAACTGTGCATATATCTGCATATGTACCCAAATGTTTGTGGCCAAGATGCTGTTTACTTACATCTATACAGTGTCCTCAGGCCACGAGAGACTTGGGCTGGAAGGGCCCCTTGTACAGATAAATTACAGCCTGCTCCAAGCTACTGTCTTTTGTACAGAAAGATAGGACACAGTGATATACCGAGAACACTGCGAGGATAGTGAATTGCTAAATTCTCCAAGTCTGTAATTAAAGATTTGCCTCAGGGGTCCTCAGAGACCGAGTGTAAATTTTGAAAAACGGGGTCTTACTTTTCCACGGGCTAACTCAAGCACCATGGGCTGCTGTAAAGCTGTCAGATATTCTTTCCCGATGATCTTCTCTGTGTTTTTTCCTTTGAAGATGTTTTTAGCGTCTGGACGTTCATTCACATTTTCAACTTGGACATTTTTTATCTAGCAAAGAAAAAGCAGAGAAAATTCAGTCTGGTATTGGCCTGGAGTAGGCTGGGGTAGACTAAATCTCCTCGAACCTAAGTACCAAAACGAGTCCCTGCAAATATCATTTTTTTTCAAAACGTTCAAATTTTTTTTCAAAACATTCAATTTTTTTTTTCAAAATTTCTAGTAAATGTCTTTTTTTTTTTTGTCATATTTGTGGCTAGAACTGAAGACTTCAACCAATTGCCCCTCACATAGGTGCTTGCACAA